TTCATTTTTTGTTGAAAATGAAATTATATCAATTTTATATTTGAGATAACTACCCCATGTGTATATTTTTCACTTGTTAGGACTCTGCCGAACGTACAAAAATTTAACATGTCTTAGGAATTGTGAAAATTAGAAAAAATGATTTCCATTAAGAAACTGCAGAAGGTGAAGGAATTGTAGAAAATTGTCTATTACAATAAATTGTTTTAATTACCGAATGTAACTAGACAAAATTAAGGATTAAGAGGGTTATTTATTTATTTATTTTTTGTTTAAGTTAAGTCCACTCAAGCGTATTACATATGTAAAAGGTGTTTTAGATGGTTGGATCATATATAGTTATAATGTGACCGATGAAGTCGATGGAATATATGAAAATAAATTAAAGAGGTATGATACAGTGTTCTGGATAATATTTGACAATACATATCATAGAACGTGAATTCATTTGATTTAATTGCCTAATGATAGTTTTTTGTAACTTTGCCTAGGACCTAGAATATTATGATAGTTTTGTTGTTAGCTTACCATCATCGTCCTATGCGATTATGACTTACTATGAGATATTTTTTATCCAACTTATTATTTCAATTTCAGAGCCATCAACAGTTGAATCTTATTTTTTAAATAGTCTCGATCCACCTAACGATCCACTCTCACATTCACCACTTGATAATCTGCATTTGCATGTATGGTTTTATATAAGCTAATATATAATGAACGAGATACTTCACAATCTCAATAAGGTGTGACTAAATACTCTCATGTAGACATCTAAGATATTTTTACCTGTTTATACCATTTTTTAATTTGAATTTTCTCAGTCTCATTTTTTTCCTTGACTTCTTCTTCTTCTTCTTCTTTTTTTATTTTATTTTTTTTTCTCTAGGTGGAAGTTTTGTTACCCCATTCTAGCAATTGGGAATTGCATGCACCATATTTCATTGGACTACCCATTAGGGAACTCACATTTAAATCAATTGCTACTTGTCGTTGTGATTCAGACGTCGTTGTCAAGTAAATTGAAATATTTGATTCTCACAAAAATATTCCGCATCGAGCTCCATGATTATATTGTTCACTTCCTCAACCTCATCGTCACACATCTCATTTGGTGATACGTCAATTCTTGAAATAAAATCACTAATTTTGGGAATTTAGGATGACAATCTCAAGTTGGGAAAGTTGTGGATGAATGTAATGATTTGAATGCACAACATAATCACTTGTCGTATACAGCCTAGATTATGTGGGTATAGAAGGCTTCATCTCCACCACACTAACACGTAATGCATAGGTGGTCATGCATGAGAGCTGTCATTTGTTATTTGAATCGGTGACATCCCTACATCAGCAATGTATTCAATCTTGACATCTAAAACTCTCTTGTCAACCTTTTATTTCATCCATTATCATTTCAACCGGGTGAATGTACTTAAAAACCAAATGGAACAAGAAGCCCAAACATTTCTGCGCCATACATTACAAAAATGTTTGTATAACCCATTCCTGTATTACAGAATCACTGATTAGTTTAGTATGTATATAAATATTTAGTAATACAAGACTAAAAGTAGCATATGTGTCATCTTATAGTTATTCATATGTATCATATATGAGTTTTTGACAGATGACATACTGAACCATGCAATGGTTTCTACTAATTATGTAATCCATTTACCACGTTTAGGTTCTTACTTCTTAGACGACTGCGAATTGGAAATTTTCCTTTTTTTAGTAGGCCAATTGATCAAAGGTCATACGTTAATACATGTTACATTTCAATTACATAATCACATCAGAAATTCAAGAATTTCGGAGTGAATTACACATAATTAAAGTATACAATTGCTGGACACTATCTTGAAATTTCACACACTAGAGAGAGAGAATTTATTATAGAGACAACGAGATCACATTGTAGACGAAAGGAAGTGCACATCGATTATCGCTTGATCGAGTCTAAAAATAGAAGATGATCTTTATATGATCGAAACGTGTGAACAATGGCCGAATAATTACCTTGAGATTGGAGATCTAAAAACTGGAAATCTTCTGTAGAATGCCGAATTGTTGCGTTGTAGAGGAAAGGATGTCTAGTTTGATTATTTAACACTCGATATTGAATGATTCTTTCCATTGTTAGTTTTAATAATTCATTTAATGGAGATGCGTGAAATTTACTAAATTAAAAAAACTTTTCAATTACAGAATATGGTGTAATATCTATTTTTATAAATAAGTATATGTATATATTTTTCATATGTTATCAAGTATTTTTGGTTTTTTAAATATGACATGGTAATTTTTGAAATAGTTTTTCGTAATGATGCACATACGAAAATTTCCGTTATTTATCAATTAATTTGAGCCCAAATACAAATTGCGATCCAAATTGACCCGATCCAACAAGATTCGGTTTGCGTCGATTTGGTTTCAAATAAGGTGTTGGCTTGATTTCAATGTTGCATTGGGCCTAAAATGGACCTAACCTGACCCACACCCAAGCCTATGTAAAAGTGTTGCTTTTAAACGAAAAAATTGAAATATTGGTTTTAAGAGGAAAAATAGGTATTTTCCCACAAAAATTATAAAAGGAATAAAATTGTAAAATATTGATATTCGATAATAAGGGATATTTTTCCCAAAAAAAAAAAAAATAATTAATTAAATTAAAAAATGAGATTTTTTCAATTATTTAATAAAATACAGGATTGTTGTCAACTTTGCCCATAACTCTTTTCTTATTTTGTGTTTAAAATTTCTAACTTATTATTTTTAAAATTATATATATTATTCTAAATTCTTTAGATATTTCTATTTTTTTAGGAATAGAATATGGAGTTTGTCATTTATTTCTTAGTGATTTCGAATAGAACAAATATTCAAATGTAAGAGAATTGATAGGTATTTTGATTTTTAATATCTTGATTGGATTCACTCGACAGAATCCTATTAAAATAGGCTTAGAAACAGAACTTCTTAATTTCTTAATACTCGTTCCAAGTTCAAAGTACCATTTGGACAAATAAGAATCCCCTTCGTTATATGATCTCTTCTTTATATAGATAGATATAGGATTTATGGGGCAATTACGTAGAAGTACATTATATGCTACAGCCCTTCCTATCAACTTTCTTGCTAATGCATCTAGAGTTTTTAGATGCAAGAGTAAATCAGAATAAATAATCATCGACAACATTGAAGAACGTGAGATTAAGATTCCAAAAAGTATAAATTAATTAGTCGTTGAGATCGAAAAAAATAAAAATGAAGCATAAGTATACCTCTCTATAAATAATTAGGTTTTATGAACATCCATTGTTATCTAATAAAGACATATTTTGGTGCAAGGATAAAAATAAACCGTTGACTCATTTTGAGCCATGGACGAACAATTTTTGATTGCTAGAATCTCAAATTTTAATAGAAAATCAAAGATTCGTGTTATTCAATTCGGACTATTATAGTTTAGACTCGAAATTTAAGAGTCGCTTCAAAAATCAAAACCCAATATGATCTCACAAAATTTGAATCGTATTGATCAATCGTCCTCAATCTACGCCCTTATCCTACCAACAAGAAATGAAATAATCGTGAGTGAGCCGCAAATAAAAATAATTTTAAGAGTTGGGTCAAAGATGAGGCAAATGATTGATGAGGTACAGTGCAATATGGACAAAAGGAAGATGCTGCTAAAGGATAAATTAGCAATGATTATGGTGGTGAATAATGTGAGACTCAATTGGCCTTTGTTTTGAAGTGTTCACTAGGGGCTGGAAAGGGTGACAATCTGCATTTTTCCCGTTTTAGGGAGGAGTAACGTAGACAAGATTTTTTTAATTTGATGCATAAAGTTTAACATAATATTACGTGTCATTCTATCGTTGGACAGTTTAAAACACAGTCAGCTTTTTCATTCAATCACTTTCCTCCGCATACAATTATTCAAGTTTTCTGTCAAAATCATCTGTCAAAATACAGTGAGTGGATCGCAATAAAAAGGTAGGAAGAAGATTGTCTGTTTTTTGGCTCATGAAATTCTTGCAAGACATAAATTGACAGTTGAAAACAAACAGCAATATGGTGTAACTGAAGGTTTTTTTCCAGTTAGTCTATCACGTTAATCTCGACATTATGCTTTCTTCTCTATTCTCCCCCAACCAACATACACACCCTCTCTCTAAAACACGCACACACAAATTGTCTAGAAAAAATTTGACCCCTTTACAATAAAGTTCAAAATAATAAAGTTTTAATGGGACAAAATAAAGTTGGTAATTTACTCATTGTTTTATTCTCTTTTAGCGATTGAAATTTACGAGAAATTCACGAGATTTCAATATTCATGTTCGTACAATCACTTGATCTAAAAGTTGAAGTTACTGTATCTCTTCGCGAGAGAACCCGGACTTGAAATAAAGATATAACTTATACTGGTTTATCAATAATGTGAAATGGGAAGTATCCTGAGGAGGGGCTCACTGTCCAAGATTGACAAAAGCTAAACATAATATTTTTGCAATGTTGAAGGACGAACCCCTTATGGAGTTACTGCTCTCTCCATCTCTACTCATTCAAATGTTTCCTTTGAAGCCACCACTTTTTCAGACACCAGCAGATCACAACATACTGCAACTAATTATTATGAGAAGAGAAAACCCTAGCTAGGCACAAGAAGCCTTGCCCAGCTACGGCTATGTTAAATTCATTGAATTTTACATACACATCTACATATAGATACACACACTGGTTATGGATATGGTGTCAGTGGCTGATCAAAGTCTGACGCTCAGTTACCAGACAGAGATAGCCAGAGACAGTGAGAAGAGTTTCTGGAGACTGAAACATATCAGAGATAAGCCATTAACTCCATTTAATAACGGTCCAAATTAATGAATCACTGATCCCAAAGAGATCGAAGTGAAATGGATGCAGAAGAAAGAATGAAACAAAATAAAAACCTTTTATTCCCTCAAAAGAATAAAAAGGTGGTCTAATTTATACTTCAATAGTTGAACTCCGTGATTAAAAAATATTGATTAGATACTTGTACTGAATTCAAGTTCAATACTTAAGAAATTCATCTTGAAAAATTACTATTTTCCCTCTCTAATATCCTCCTTAATTTGCGCCACAAAAGACAGAAGAACAGACTTATACAAAAGATAACATCTTGACTGAAACTGTAGAGTTACAAAATGGAAACCATGAGATGCCTATAACCTATACAGATATAGATTAATTCTAGGTAGATTTTCACTTCCATGGAAGTGAACTGTACTGATTCAAATTGCTCCATGATGCTTGAATTTCATTCCAGTTGCTGCTGTTTTCATTTGCATTGGCATTACCGTTGGGTGGGATTGGAGTAACTGGTGCATAAGAATTATCAAAAAACCACTCAGTTGATAAATTTACACTTGATTCCTCTTTTCTTGAACTGCCAAATCCACTAGCTTCTTTTTTTGCGATTTCCAGGTTCTGAAACAAAAGGGCTTCAGGTTTCTGAATCGGAGGTTCAAGATTTACAGATGAGGCACAGTTTTCCTTCCGAATCTCTTCCACAAAATGCATAGCCAATCTTTGTTGCTGCAATTTCCAGTGCAAATCTTGGTTGATAGAACTCAAGGACTCTATAGAAGTTTCAAGACTGCTGTGAACATTCAAAGAACCGCCGCCCATTTCTTGAAGCCTTAGAGTACCGGTTTCTCCATGTTTGAGTGAAGAAGATAAAGGAAAGTTGAACCCCAACCTTGGAGAACTTCCTGAAGGATCAAGACTGAAACAAGAGTTTGATGCAATTGCAGAAGTATAATTATTTGACATATTCCCAAAAGATGAAAACTGGTTAAAAAGACCAGTATTTGGATAGTTCAGCCTAGGGAAATTTAACCCTCCAAGCGGGAAATCCATGGCTGGTGAGATACCTTGAATGAATTCCAGTCCACCAATACCAGATGATCCAATGGAGTCCTTCGAATCCCCGGAAAGTCTAGAATTGAAAGCCTTCATTTTCTTGCTTTTCCGGCAGCCACCGCCTATGGGCACGTTGCGCAAAGCTCCTCCCCGAGTCCAGTACCTTCTACAAGTTTTGCAGAAATGCCTTGGCTGTGTCTGACTGTAATTGTTGTAGTAGCAAAACTTTGTGTTTGGTGAATCACATCTGGGGCACTTAAGAGCCGGTTCTTGCTGCTTTACTGCGGAGGTTTTCCGGCCTTTCAATCCGCTGATTTCATCTTTTCCGACCGACTTGGCCTTAAGGGTATTATTATCCTGTGACATCCTTGGATGACTAACCCTAATTCACAAGAATTTGCAAATAACTGTAATTATATAAAAGAGAAAACTAGATGGGGTAGTTCAATTTCCTTTTGAAGAGGCAAAGGCACTGAAAATTCATTAGTTTCATGCATGGGGTTGATAGAAATGAAAGGATGTTGATGGGATCTTGTGATCTTCAGCAAGAAGGAACAGCTTATAAGCTGAGTTTGGAGTTCAAGGAGCCTGTTTGGGAGTGATTTTGAGAATTGATTTTTTGATTGTTATGAGAAAAGTGAGATTCACCTGTGAGAGAAGAAGTCAAATATGACGGTTGGAATAATAAAATAACAATCAAAAAATCAATTTTTTGGGAGGAAAAATCGCTCCCAAACAGCCCTAGATCTAAGAGAATTAATAAATAGAGAAAGAGAGAGGGGACTGGGTATATATGTAGCCCTGTATAAAGTGAGGGAGGTATATATGAGACAAAAAGAAATTACCTGAAAAATAATAAATAAATGAAATGAAAGCTAAGAAAAAGAGAAGAGATGAGATCCACATGACACATGCCCTACTCTGTTCAATAAATTAGAGAAATTATGGTGCAATCCTCCAACTTATCACCTCTTACTATATTGGTCCCTGACGCTTCAATTTGTTGCACTAGTTTAAATTAATGGAGGGAGGTTCTTGAAATAAGTCTTTTGCTGCCCTATTGGACGTCGTTGTGAAGTTAATATGATATACATAAATAAAGTTAGTAGAAAAGAAAAAAACAAAAAAAATTACAATGACCTCAAAGCCCTTTGATTCCTTTTCCACAAAGTTTCACATTTTAAAGATATATTAAACAGAAAATATCCATTAGAAATAAAATTAAAAGCTTAAAAACTTGAATGTCTCAAATTATATGATAAGGACTAACTTGCTATTGAACCTCTAGTGCAACTGTCCCTAAAATAATAAATGTTTAGTTGAGTGTAATTGTTGTGTGAAATCTCAATGTAGTCTCACATGATTTGCAATAGTCAAATCATCAAAGATATATTTGCCAAAAGTATTAGGAAAAAACTAGATGATTCTATATATAAAATTTTATTTTTTCTTATTTAGCTCCCTAGAAGATCAGTTAGAAATTTGGAGGAAAATTTATTTTAAAGTTAGTAATTAATTTAATCACACATTTTATGAATTTACAGCTTTTTATTCACACCTTCCATAATTTTTCATCCAAATATACTAAAAATCATTTTATAGTAGATTTTGATGAAAGTTGATAAAATATATGATTGAAAATTTGATAAAAATTATAAATCTTATGAATATAAGATTGAAAATGAATTTAAATAAGATTTTTTTTTAAAAAAAGGGGCGAACATTGATTTGAATTTTTCACACAACACAAATCACATTAAGAGTAAGTCCGTGTTTGATGGCCATTATTTGGCAAAAACTTTGTTTTGAATATTAAATTTTGGAGAATGTGTAGTTAAAAAGTAGAAAAAACTTTTGAATGTACGTGCGAAATATTTTAGCCCATGTTTGACAACAATACTTTTCAAATTATTTCATATACTCAATTTCAATTACATATTTATACAATAAAATATTCTACATATAAATCTAAAATTTTACTTTACTTTATAACCATACATTCTTCTAAAAATCACTATTCCAACCTCTATTTTTGAAAAGTATGGTTGTCAAACTGTGACTTATTGTGTGAATATATAGTTAAAAATGAGTATATTAAATGAGGCTAAATATTAAGACTTGAGATTTCATCTTAAAAAGTCAACCTTGTTAAGTGGAATAACTCAAGACTTATAAGTTGGCCTATATTTTTATCATTATTCAATGTGAAATTTTTATCTCTTAACATATTAAGATTTGGAGTTCCATTTTAAAAAGTCAACCTTATTAAAAGGAGTAACCCAAGACCTTATAAGTTGGTCTATATTATCATCTTTATTTGATGTGGGATAATATCTCTTAACATGCTATTGTAAGATGGTAACTTGTTTGAGCAAACCAATCTTGAAATTTGTGTGCTCATTTTTTGAGTTTTAATTGGATTGAATAATTCGTTAGAAATTTATGAGCTGTAATATGATGTTAAGATTTAGGGCTCTATCTTAAAATGTCAATCTCATTAAAATGAGTAGTTTAAAACCTTATAAATTGATCTATATTATCATCTTTATTCATAGTAGAATAATATTCCTTAACATTGAAGAACATAAGACTCCAAACCCTATCCAGATTTCATCCCGTGTACTTCGAGTTGGGGTAGTTGGAATTCGCATGCAAGCATTCAACATCAACCCCAACATATATTCAGTGAGTAGGGATGGTGATTATCATTCATTAAAGGGTTGATGTGATGGGATAGAATGAAAGGTTACGCAAGTGCAATTATCAAAGAGTAGCAGAGGAATAGTAGTCAAGTAAAATAGCAGCAGCGACTAGGTTGGAGGTTCAGACAAGACTACGGGCCGACAACTGATGTGGGGTTCGCCAGGCCACTGCGCCTTTGTCTCTTCCTTCCTATGAAACGTCCCTTTTCACACTTTTAACCCCACAAATACAATTGTTTTGTCCCCCCTACCCCACCACATATATAAATGGTTCCATAAAGAAATTCACACGAGTAAAGACAAATGACTAAAGACCTCATCTCATTTTATCAATGGCACCTAATGATTTAATGGGAATTTGGATTTTTGCTGTCCTAAATAGAGTTGCATTCTGATAAATGGTCTAATTTAAAAATATTTAAGTAATTAGAGAATTATACTTTTTTTTTTTTTTTTTTTTTTTAAAAAAAATCACTTTTTCATGTGAGTAAGATTTCGTAATACATGGGGTTGATGTAAATATTTTAAAGACAAACACTATAGCTTCTAAGAGAAGATTTATGTGTGGAGAATGCAATTATCGTTTATGTATTAGTAAGGGAAAATTGCAGTCGAGATACCAAACATTTCGTTTATTAGCAGACTTTGCTCAAATCTTTAGTTTGTGTCACCCACGATATCAAATCTTTCAAAAACTCACAGTGGAAGTCCAAATGGACGGAAACTGTTAATTTGACCGTTAGTTGACCAAAAATGTCAAAGTTTGATCAATTTTGACCAAATTAAAAAGGGCAAAATGGTAACTATACAATTTTCTCACATTAAAGAATTAAAATATTAAATCAAAAAATAAAAATAAAAATAAAAAATCCTACAAGCTACAGTGATTCTAATTCAAACTCACACCTAACCTAAAACCACCACTACCGTCGTCCACCACCTCCACCACCATCACTACGATGACTGCCACCACCACCACCAAATCTACAGCCACCATCTTCACTACCAAATAGAACCCAAACGAAAAATCACATTCGAATCCAAAATTTCATCTCCCCATTCACTGCAATCGTTGCTGCTTCACTCCGAACTCAAACCCAAAATCCTCATTTTCAAACGCGGTTGATGGACCTTCGGCACGACCAGTGACGTCAAAGCTCAATTGCAGTGCCCCTTCGACAATCTCAGAGCTTAATTACATCGTTGTGAAAACTCGACTCCCATTCCCATTCCACAGCCAGCAGCATCGCCAGAGATCTGAGCAAAAGATAACAAAAAAATGGAACTCAACAATGATTCTTGGTGCTAAAGATGAGTATTCATGTATGAGATTTGAAGTAGAAAAATGGGCATAGCATTGTGCACACCGAATCTTCATCTCCTTCTCCTAATTTGATATTTTTCTCTTTAGGGCTCTTGATTAAACTTAGGTGTGGAAGACTATAGCAAGGTAGACAAATGTGGGTGGTGCTTCTGTGGATGGTTTGGTGGTGTGTGGTGGCTAAATGCGATCTGTGCCCAGAGTCGGTGGACTGTGTGGCTAGGGTTGGTGTTGTTATTGCTGAATGTGGTTAGGTGAGGTGAGAGAAGGTAGTGGGTTGAAAGAGATAAAGAATCTGTGGGTGTTGCTTGTGTGGATGGTTTGGTAGTGTGTGGTGGGTGGGTAGGGGGTGAATAGAGAAGAAGATGAATAGTATTTTTGTGTTTTGATTTAATTATTAATATATTGTAATTATTTTTATTTTTTGTTGAAAAATGTAAAGTTACCATTTTATCCTTTTAAAATTAGTCAAAATAATGGTCAATGTTAAATTTTTGATCAACTAACGGTCAAATTAACAGTTTCCGTCAATTTGGACTTCCATTGCGAGTTTTTGAAAGGTTTGGTATCGTGGGTGGCACAAACTAAAGGTTTAAGCAAAGTCTGCTAATAAACGAAAAGTTTGGTACCTCGGCTGCAATTTTCCCTATTAGTAATCGTGGGATATAAGGAAAAAATAATCTGATATCAACAAATGTGATTAGGATTTTGAACCAATGAAGAAAAAATTTTTGGTTTTACTTTCTTGGACAAAAATATGATGTGCATTTTGGAGCTTCAACTTTTTGCAACCAAATGTTATTGTTTCCCTAAGCTATGGTTTGAAATTTTGTTTATTGTTGCTTCCAACAATGTAATGGACTATGTGATGATATGCTTGTGTAGTTGCTACCATTTAAAGCTTCAATATGTTTGAAAACAATATTTATAAGGAAAATGATTATTGTGCACTACCATTTATAGATTCTTTTACAGATTGATGAGATGACAAAAAAAAAAAAAAATAGAGAAATTCCTTTTTTCTTTTTAATTGATTGGTGAAATTTTGACGTGATCAGATGTGGTCATATTATCTATTGACAAAGAAATCTATAGGTTGTGATATATATATGTAGTCCAATCGCTCCACATGAAAAATAAATGAACATACTTTTGACATGGTTATTCTTTTAAGATAAAATTCCAAATTTTGACCTAAGCACCAATATATTAATTTTTAATTTAAGAAATATTTTGAATCTGTCCCTACTTCTACAAGATAACATTGTTGAGTTTTAAGAATGAAAAAGACTTAAATATGTATCTCGTGATGCCCTAGGTTCCATAACACTTAAATTTTTTTTGTCCATCTTAATTTGGAAATAACTTTTTAAATTAATAATCCACTAAATGTATAAGATAATACATTATAAAAAGTTCATATAGATCCCACACAATAAATTAGCAATTTTATTAACATTGCACTTATAATTCGACCATGAGGCTTTCCTAAAATAAGACTCAATCATTATTTGTTTTTCTTTGTTAATGTGTAATCTATTTTTGGGAAAAGTAAGTAGATTCGTGTATTTTACTCTATCAAACAAATACGTAGAATTTTTAATTCATAAAATGATATT